AGCCAACAAATAGATTTTTGGTTGCGTTCATAATTTAACCATGCAACAGGGAGTGGGTTTCGCAGGGGGGATATATCGGGGATTTAAAGAGGTAGGAGGGTGGATTTCATACTGGCTAGACAAAGCGCCTTTGAGCTATTTGCGGCCATTGAAAGCGGTGCTGCACGAAAACTGCCGGCAAACTGAACTCGTTCGTCGTTTTGTGGCATTGTTTTAGGTCTGTGCTCAGAGGTTTGGCCGATCGACCGACGTTTTATGCAATGCATTTAGTCAATAGATTAAGGAGGCCTGCGACTACACACATATAAATATATATCTAGATTTATATATCGACTGGTGTGTGTGTGTGTGTGTGTGTGTGTAACAAATCGTGACTGCATGAGGTTGCCGTTAAAATATACTGCCTCGCACAACTGGCGATCGAGGGGCATTAAAAACAATTTTAGTTCAGCTTTTTGTCCCCAATTTTTAAGGTGGAGCTCGCGACAATATTCGGGTGCTTTCAAGTTGCAAGTTGCATTGATTGTGAAGACAGTAATCTGTTCAAACGAGTGGATAATCGAAGGGATTTTCGCTATAAAAATCAAGTAAAGGGATTAGCCCTGTATGACACTCTATTTTTTCTTGATTAAAAACCGGAAATTTAATAACCAAAGAGCATTAATCTTAAATAACGACGTAACTAGGGATAACATTTTCAAGGCATAATCACTGCCATTGGTTTTTGTTCAAAAGCTGGACTAAAATAAAATCAATATTTAGCGATTTAAAGAACAATCGAACACCAAGATTGTTTAGTAATCGTATTTTTTCGAATCTTACATTTTACCTGCTTAAATTAAAGTCCACATAAGGTGATTTCTGGAGAAACACCAGAATTTATGGTATATTTTTAAGGCCAACCGTGCTTAATTTGACTGCGGCACCACCTGGCAGATTTATGAAAATGTCGCTGGCCATCGAACCACCGCATCGGCACATGCAACAGGAAATTCATTTACATAATTTTTGCGTTTGGCCATTTCGCATCCTTTGCGCTTGACTGGGCATTATCCTTTTAATAAGCGAGTGGGCAGGAGGTAGGAGGATCCAGGCGACAGGCACATGGCAAGCCGTGTGGATAATCAGCCTATCAAGGATTCAATTATATAATGAGCTTAATTTATTTTGCGCCGCTTTACGCGATGCAACAGAAAGGACAGGACGGCCTTGTTTCGTGGATCCGATGATGTTCATCATGCCCACTGAATTATCCTCGTTAATGTTGCTTTTTTTGTTTTTGTTGGCGATGGTGTTTTTATTTCCCCTGTCGCTGGGAGTCTTCTGTGACGTGGAAGGATATGCCATGGCTTCGTCTTTTGCTCTTTTTTTACGAATGATTTATTTCCAGATAATTGTTGCTTCGCAAAGCTCAGCATGCAACTTCGCACTTCCTGGCTTGGCTTTTTTAACCCTTTAACAGATTACGGTCAAGAAGAATGAGATTCGTTAATGGGCTTAATGACTCTTTATGGTTGACATTAAGAGGTAATAAGCTGTTTACTTACTATTTTGTTTAACAACAGTATTGATTGGAGTCTTAAGCATTCGTGAGTTAACCGAAAAAGGATAGTTTGTGCTTATTTACATATTTCAGGTATATATTATAAAAGATTCTTCAGCTCTTGCGGGTTAAATGTGCATTCGAAATAAATTAAAACTAGTTTTGTTATTATCTGAGTTTAATTGAGGATGAAGAGAAAGCACGAACTTTTGGCTATTTGACTAATACGAAAACAATTTCCGCCATTTAGCCAATTGACTTTCTTAACTCAAGCCTAACCTTCCACTCCTGACAATGGGCAAAAAAGCATCAATAACACCATTTGGAGGCGGATAACTGATAAAGGCGAAAGCCACAAAAACAGTTTAATTTATGTGCAACCGAAACCAACTAGCTTCGGCAGCAGCAGTACAAGACCAAATGGAGTCCTATTCTCTGGGTCTAATCATCCAGCAAAGACAAAACCTACACAGCAACAGGCCCAAAAAAGATGTGCCTACGCCGATAAAAGTTTTGTGGCAATTTGATTTATGTGGGGGGATATTTATCAGCCGGCTAGATTGGATTGGGCGCTTGAGGGTGAAAAAGGTGCCAAATTTAACGCCAAACCAAACAACAATTACAATTGTGAAATGCGTTTCTGTTTGCTATTTAATTTTCCCCCAGCTGCTGACTCAATTTCGCGCACACAACGAAAGGCAATTACTTTAATTATGCGACTGCACACAAAAACAAAACCAAAACCCAATCACAGGGGCGACGACAAGCCACCAAACAAAACCGAAGCAAATCCAAGCCAACCAAAGCGAACCAAATCATCAGATTGGATGGAGCAACACATGAAGGATGCGGGATTTGGGTGGCAGGGGCACAAACAGGGGGTGAGGAGTGGGCTCCACCGGAGGAGAGTGGCAAACAACGTCCGTTCAGTTCGGTTTAGTTTGGGTTACCTAACCCGCAGACAACCAGCTAGCCAACACAACGCCTGACGTGGCAAAGGGGTGTGCCCCATGACGACGCACTCCCATCCGTTGGTCCCAAAAAAAAAAGGAAATTAAATCTTTTTATGGCTACTTTTTTACCCTTGCTGAGGGCATTACAATTTTCCGCGAAATACATGATGTCATAACAATATCCAATTATACAAGAAATTCCCCTAAAATGAATGATACTCTAAACCGAAAATATTTACAATGCCTTTTTGCAATCTCAAATTCAATTTCTAAATAACCTCTTATTTGTAAGAGTACTCAATAAATCGGTTATAAAATAGATTTTGTTTTTTGTCTCACGCACAAAACTTTTTGACATAAGGCCCCTAACAAATGCGTGGCTAATGGACTTGGCTACAGATATAAATATCGAGATTTATACTCGGACGTGGACACACGAATGTGTGAATAACCGAGCAGTTTTTACAATTTGTCGCCGCAATTGCAGTTGGCCTCTCAGCGAGACTCACCTCAACGCGCGCCTAATTACAATTTGATTGTTTTTCTTTTTCGCAGTAATTATTTCAATTGTAATAAATTTTGTTGCTATTTTTGCGAAATATTATGTTGCAATTTGTAGGCCGTCCCTCGCTTGTAGATATGTGCGCTTATGCGAGAGCCTAATAATTTAATTTTTAATTTAATGCTTTATGCATTCGATTGGTTTTTGTGTGGGAGTCGGCTGGATTTCGCCTAATTGGTTTCTGCTCTCTGAGGCGTGTGCTCTACGTTTTGCAGTTAATTTGTTCGGTATAAATAATTAGCTAACCTGTGGCCAACTAATGCCTGCCTCTTACTGAAATGAATATGTAAATGTTTTATGGTTTATGGGATGGTTTAGCCCACCGTTTCCTGGATAGGATTTTCTATAGCGAGTTATGTGGAAAATGGCTCTGTTTTCTGAAATTTAAGCTGTTATGGTTACAAAATCCAAATTACGATTTACGGTTAAGTAAAATAATGTCTATGGTGCAGAGATTAGGTAAAAGGCAACTAGTTTTAAAAAAAATAAGATTGAATTCAGGTTATTATACTGGTAATCACCTAACTAACTGCATCTTTAAGGAAGTTTCAATTAAAATCGTAGTTAGATTGTTTGATTGATTACTCATAGCAGCTGAATCGGCACAGCTGCATTGAGTTCGCCTTCCCTTGTCGATAGCATATCGTCTAAGCCCACACTCGATCCATGTGTCAGATGAGAGGCCCATGTTCGATGCAATACCAGATCATTGGCCAGGCTAAGTTTATCGCCAGGGGCTCAAACAAACATTCAACTCAATTACGCAACCAAAAACGCCGGCGAACAAACTGAGAACTGCAAAAAAAACTGCGGAACAAGGTTAAGGTCAATTACAACAGGCAAAAGCAACGACAACTGCCAGCGATGTGAATAAATTGCGCGTGAAATATAGAATACAAATTAAGAACAAGTTTTTGTGCCTGCTTCCAGTTGGTGCAACAACATTGGAAAGGCATACGAAATGTAAACAAATAAATTTAAAGGTTCACTCAAAAAGTGGTATACAAAGAGTGGTCGACAGTAAAATTCTCATTAATCTTTATTCCCTGAATAAAACTATGTACGTCATTAGGATAAAAATTTAGTACATTAGTATAGTATAGTGAATGTGAAATACCTACCGGGATCAAATCAAAATTATCAAAATTAGTGTGTGGGCAGCTGTGCGCGAGCATAATTGCAGCCGCATATAAATCAAGTTTATGTGCAACAACAAATCAAGCTAATGAGCCCCAAAAACCGACTTATGCTAAAGCAGAAATAGTAGCAGAAAAATAAAAAATTTAATATTGAGCAATTACCGCAAAGTTCTGTAGTCGGAGGCAGATCTTTTCCCACTGACAAAAGAAGCGGCAAGGTCAGCCGTAAAAACGGCAACCGCACGAAACTTGTCATCAGAAACACAGCAATAACAAAATCTACACAATCAACTGACAATAAACAACAACATACACTTGAAATAAAAATCGCTATTAAGTCCAAATGGCCAATAAAATATAAGTATTACCAATTTTTCAGAGTCGTATCTAGATTTGAATAGTTTGATTGTGTAATTTAATTCAATTCTAATAGAATAGCGATTTGCTTTTGACACTAAAAGTCTAGTGACTTTTATTTACATATATTTTGTTCGTAGTGTAAGAGAACAATTGTTGCACAACTGCTTACATTGCCACAAGCGAATATTAAATCTTAAAAGCGGGTCAGACACATCAGAGGTTAAAGTTAACTCGGCGACTACTGACTAAGCCTCATTAACCGGCTTAGGGAGTGGTTTTCGGTGCAGCGGGTAAATTTGTATCTTGACATCAAAGCCAATGATTGGCCACGCTGCGAATCTCAAATACATGGACTTTAATGTGTTTCCCCTCGACGAAACCTTGAACTTTGCAGATTAGGGGCTTGGTTATTTGAAGTAATTAGTGTTTTTATCTGTTTGCAGACTGCCATGAAACGGTTCGCTCCAAGCGTGCCAAACGCCCCCGAGCTCCGGAACCGGTCAACTTTGAGCCGGAACCGCAGCAGGATCTGGAAAATGAAGAGAGTGGCAGCCAGGAGAAGGACCTTCCAGAGATCCCGGAGAATTTCCTCAGCCCCTCGGTACGGGAGTATCTTGAGCTGGGTAAATCCATTCCTGGTAAGTACAATTTTTTAAGCAGTCTGGCGATCTCTCAGTTAATAAACTAGGGTCCTTATCATACAACTATTTTTTCATCTTATTTGATAAGTCAATCAATATGCATACACCAAAGTCCAATCATTAAGCATGTCACAATTTCGAATAACAATGAAATAGGGTTTCCTCTGGCGAGGTTAAGTATATTTTTTGTTGACCATTTTTCCGAGTACCCAGGCCAACGGAGCTGAAGATGAGGCAGTGAAATGCATTTCGGGCCATCAGCGACAGGCCAGAAAAAGTGCACGATTTTAAATTATTTTCCGACGAGCGAAATGGATATTTGGCACAGAAGTGCATCTACTCGTAAATTCATTTATTAGCGCCAGAGACGCGACTGAAACCGGTCCGGGGATTTGTTTATGCCGCGTTTATTTTTGTTTCTTTTTTTTTCTTTTGTTGGGGTATTCCATTTTTTTGGTGACCCCGGGGCAGCGCCTGCAGTTGACACTTCTGGGAGGTAGGAGCATATTTTTTCTGCAGGTTTCTTTCAAGTAAGGTTGGATGAAGTGAAATTGATTGGAAACCGCCGACTGCGTGACATGCAGTTTGTTTTGGTTTCGGATTATTTGTTTCTGGACAGCGCCTCACTAATTGCAATAACAAAATCATTTGCAGGTCGTCCCGGCGTTGACTATCCAATTCTGTCGGCGGTGCCCTACACCAATTTCTACTGCGACGAGCAGGAGTATCCCGGATTCTTTGCCGACATGGAGACCAGGTGCCAGGGTAAGTGATCCTTAATACTTAGTTTACTTCTCGTTAAAAAAACATAAATATAGTTAAGTGGAAATGTAGTTTCAAAATAAATTAGTGGGACTGTAGTTCTAGTCTAATTTTGAATTCAGTTTACTAAAACAAGAAAAACCCTTATATAGCCTCAGTTTGGTATTTAAAAAATATTTAAGGGCGAGGTGTGAACTACTTGTTATTTAATTCTCAAATATTAATTGTTCTTTCTTCACAGGCTGGCACTACTGCGACATCGATGGACGCCAGGCCACGTTCCTCTGCCCAAATGGCACCCAATTCTCACAAGCGGTCTTCGTCTGCGACTGGTGGTTCAATGTGCGCTGCGATCTCTCACCCCGGCTGTACGCCATTAACGCCCGACTCTATCAGCGCCCCAAGGTGAACCCCACTCGGCCCCATCGCATCATCACCAAACAACTGGTCGACGACATCTTCACCTGAACAATTTTCCGAGTGAACCTCCTTTCAGTGTAGCTTAAGTTTGCCGATGCCTATTAGTAAATAGATTAGTTCTGATATAAGTTGTTATCGTTAAGCTGGTACTTTAAAGAGCGTTAAAAAATGTAAACAATTGTAAGAAATAGTTAAATTTATAATCAATAGTTTAAAAAAAAGATGGTTCATTCTAAAATAAAATATATTGAACCATTGTTTAGATGCAATGCTCTTGTACAGACCCTTTTTAAAAGACTTCACTATATTTCCAATAGTTTCCCAAGATAGACTTCTGTAATAAACCTTTAATAATTTGAACAATCAATGTTTCTCTAACTTCTGCTCTGATTTCTCATACAAATAATAATTACTAAGAGAATTGCTGTTTTTTTTACTCTTAAAACATTCTTATTAATAGGTACCAAAAGTAGAAAAAAATGTATTAAATAAAATAAATACATAACTGTTTAATGAATTTCAATTGGTGTTAAATTTAGACTTCATTTTTGAAGGCATTCCCTTAATATGTTGCCTTTTTTTAACATAATAATTTTAAAATACTCATTAAGGTTTTGTACATACTTTAAAATTCCAATGTTAAAAATATAAAATAAAAATTATTCTTAGGAAAAAAAAAACAATCATGTTTATCTTTGGTTTAAAAGGATTTTATGAGTTGCAGTAAAGAAAACTTATTAGACAAAACTATTAATTAAATATTTTCGAAATTTTTTTTTTTAATTTTACAAAATTATATCTTAGAAGAAGAATAGTTGCATTGACAAAAATTTCATCCGAATTCAATATAACTTAAGGGCAGATTTATGCAGTTCACTTGAAAGTAAATGTTATAATATAATAATAATTCTGAATGGTTTTAGGTAAGAAATAGGTAATTGCTATACTCGAACCAAACTGAGCCTACGGAATGTTTATGACTCTTATTAACCCGGTGTATTTATTTATGAAGACAAGGCGAATCACAAATTCGAAGCACAAATTTAGGCGCAAAGTCTAATGCAATATTAAGCCTTAAAGTGTGGCATACTTTTCGTCACTCGTCGCAGATGCAAGCAGCCAAAAATAGGCCAATACAAGTTGGCCAAAAACACGTCATCGGCAGCATCAACGTCATCCAAAGACAAAGAAACACCTCAAAAACAGCGGCCAAAATCGTGCTATGAACAGCTGCTCGGCATGTGGCTCAATGGTCTAGGGGTATGATTCTCGCTTTGGGTGCGAGAGGTCCCGGGTTCAAATCCCGGTTGAGCCCGGCTCACAAATATTTTTATCTAATCAACTGCCAACTTTTGTGGGCAACATTTTTATGGCCCCGGCCCAAAGTTAATTAAACAAACAAAAGAAAAGCCAGGCAAAATGGGCGATGTGAAAATGCAGATTGCAATGCATTTTTGGCCAGGCCAAGAAATGAACGAACGTTTCACAGATGGCAACGCGTTGATTGGATGGCAAATAAACTGAAGTAGCAATAGCAGCTTACTTGCGATCAGTGGTGGAAATTCTTCCAAAAAGTTGTACCTGTACCTATATTTTTCCATTAATAAATTTCTTAGTCAAATGTTTTTCTATTTTTTATTATTCTACCTAATTGACAAATATAGTTTACCTTACTGATATAAATAATAAAAAAACGCACTTTCAATATTTGTTATGTAGCTAGCTATGAGTACAACCAGTTTGCGTTCGCATTGAAAATAATATGGGTTACATTTTAGAAAAAAAGTTTAAAAAAAATTAACTTACGTTTAAACAGTAATCAAGAATATTATTATAATTATTGCAAACTATGAAATCCCCTTTGGGGAATCAATATAAGCAATGCCAAAGAAAAGGAAAAACAAATTGTTTGATATAAAAATGGTAATTCGTTCTCTTTTGTAAACATTTTTTTTTAATCTTGTACCTCATCTGGTAAAAACTAGTGGTTCCTTAAAAACAGCACTACTTGTAATGAAAGGCAAGCGAAGCGGATGGCTTTTCGGCTAATACTCGTATTACCACCGACTTTGAGCACATGCAACTTGTTTGGGGCATTTACGATTGACTTGGCCGATAAGTCTTTGTGTGTTTTATCGCCGACAATTGGAAAATTGAACAATGAGTGTCGCTTTGGGCCCGAATGAAAACTCGAACTCCACGCGGACAGAAAGTGTGAAAGACTTAAAGCGGCAGCCGAAAACGCGAACTAGTCGTGCTTATGATGTAACCCCCCACAAACTATTTCTCTTGGATCATTTCTCAGTTTATTTTCATGGGGGAAAAAGCGGAGACAAAGCCATAAATATGTTTGTGTTTAAAGAATGGAGCCATCATATTTTGAAAATGGCCTTATATGGCTCTCACTTCGAATTATTACCAAATCCAAAACCAGCCAAATGTATATCCGAAAAAATTTAAAACTACTTTCACTCGCAGTCGGGTCGGAATTAAAATCACCCAGCAATATGCAAGTTTTTTGATCCGCAATCGCCATCTAAAAAGTGCGGAGACTGGCGTTGGATGGCCTTCGCATCGGGACGAGATGATCGGATCACCAGCTGCCTGGAACAAGACAAGATGGCAACAAGTGCGGGCCAGTTAAAGCCAAATAACCAGCACAGCCGTTAACTTGGCAGACTGAATTTAGTGGTTAGGTATTTACTTGATGCTGGCTAGACACCAATCCATGCCAGATCAGACCAGCAGCTGCCTTCTGGTGATGAGTGCGACGATGCGTACATTACAATTATTTGAATTTATATTACATTATATTACATTTTTTTCTAAGAAATGTATTTGAAAGTTGAGCTGGAAATAATTTGGCATACTTTAAAAATAAACAAAATTGATCTGGACGAGGACAAATTAAATATTTCAATAAAAATGTAACAACTGTATTTAAAATTAAAAAAAAGAAACGGCTCCTAAGTATTTATTAAATTCCTTTCACAAAAAAATATTTTTCATTTGTCGTTTTTGTGGCTAAAACACGATGCCATCGCTGTTGAACATTCTGGCATGCCTTGGCGATTTTCGAATGCAACGACAGGAAAAATATGACAAACTGCGGTGGAATAAATCGGAATTCTTGCCACAGCATCGACAACGGGCATCGGTGGCGTATGTGTAATATATTTCGTGTATTTTTTTTAACAACCCAGCTCACGAACCAAAATCAATCCCAAATGCTGTCGAACAAATCACGAGCAAGCAACAAACTGCTGTCACAAGAAGTCTTAACCAGATCGGCTAATGATTCGGCTAGAGACGGATTGCAAGTCAGGTGTGGTGTGGTGCGGTTCCATAACTGTTAATGACTTTCGGTGGCGGCCTCAAAAGTGCAATGGAAACACATTTAATGAGTGCCACAACACAACTCAGCGGGCTTCAGGCCGGCTGCTGATCAATTGCTAGTTGTTGGCCAAGTGAATGTCATTGGCTATTGAAAGTGAATGTTCGTTGGCCCCTGGTGAAAGGATCACTTATTGGGATTGGGATTCCCACTAATGAGGCGCAGGCGGTGGGTGGGACGGCATTCTCAGCATCTTTCATCTGCCAACATTGTTGCAACAAATGCACTGACAATAAAAACCACTTCTAAAACGTCTACTTTTATTCAATATATATCTTTCTATACGCCTATTATTCCCCAGCTTAAAAAGAAGAGTATGTACATTAAGTTTACTTAAATTATAACAATTAATATTCAAAAAAAACTGTAAGAAGTTTTTTAATTTGTTATGTCCAAGTTTTCTACATTTTTTTCAGTTGTTCCCAGAAAAGTCTTAAAAACCGGAACACCAGCCAACAATGCAAAAATATAGCAATTTTCCCTTCGTGTATTGTATGGGTTACAATTGTGCAAGCATCCCAGAAAACAGACAGCGCTTAATTTGCCTATCAATGCTCTTTTTCAATTTACGTGATGAATTGCGGCATCTTTGGGCTATGAAATATGAGAACCAACCGCTCCAAGTCACGCAATTCAAGTGTAAAATTACATTTTCTTCATTCATAAAATGCAACATGTTGCTGTTGTTGAAGTTGGCAGAGAAAAGCGTGAGCATTTCCCCCTCGTAATGAGGCAACCACAATGCTATTGCGGGTGCTGCGGAATGTTGCACTGTTTTGTGGGCAGAAAAGGATGGGAGGTAGGTATGGTAACCGCAGCTCTGGCCATAGATGTAATACCAGAAGGCGTGAAAAGTTGGTTATTTGGTCAGTAGTGGGCAACAGCAGACACAACAATCAACGGACCAACACCCATAGACATATCCATATTGTTACATTAACTAGTTATGTTTTGAACCCACGCCAATTAGGGAAAATAATATTTTGAAAAAATAAGAAAATCAGTTTGCATTAATACAAAATAAAAATTAAAAATATTTTACTGTTAATCTATGCAAAATAATAATATGATGACAAAAAGGTTTATACATCGTTATCCCCAAGACACATTGCTTTGGAGCCTAATGGCAAGATTACAAATGCATCTTGAGCATCTGCAGTTCATTTATTTATTGTGTTTATTCTAGGATATATGGCCAACTAAAAGCAGCCAAGGAAGCTCACAGCCAGTAAAGACTAATACCATAAAATTATGCAGCCAAGAAACTATGATGATGCCTTTTGTATGAGCGATTTGTTTTAGTAAATCAGAGAGGCAGTGACAAATGTACTGTTAGCTATGGCCGATGATGCATGTAGGTGGCTAACAAACCATTACATTGTCAAATTAAGTGTAAATAACTCGGTTGTATCAACAAATCAATCATGCCATTCAACAGAAAAATCCTGGTCGCAGTCACTCAACTCTGAAGTGCAGAAAACAAGAGGCAGTTAAATCGAACACAAAACGGGGTGAGAAGGTAAAGTGCATTTGCATAATGACAATGCAATTTCAAATAAACGCAGGACACATGTCAACGAATAAATTAATTTACTCTAAAATTATTTATGCATCAAACAAAGTGAGAGTAGCCCTGAGCAGCACTGCGAAAAAACAAAATTAATATTGAGTACTTTTTTTTTTTGTTAAATTGTATGGCAGTAGGTGTACAAGGATGTGTATTTAAAATTGAATTTTATAAATTAAATAGTCCAAACATCCTCCAAAAATGGTGGTTAGTTTTGAGGGGATAATTAAAGTACATTTAGCAATATATATTAAAGTGAAATCTTGTAATTATAATCAGTTTGTAGAGCAAATAATTAAAATAAATTATTCTATCGTACATAACTATTTTGCGTAGTGGTTAAAGACATGAAAATGTATTATAAGCCAACTTCATTTCAGCAAAGATCATAAAATAAATGAATTCCGCCAAGATGCACTTAAAAATATGAGAACATAATTTCTTATTTGCATTTATTTTTATCGCCAGTGCATGACCCAATCCGAA